GTGTGGGAGTGAAATTCCCATTTTCTAAAAGCCAGATAAAGGGCACAGACTAGCACACGTTTCTTACACATAAAACCAGTAAAAACAACAAAGAAAGCTGAAGATCATTTTAAAACCACCTGAAAATGTATCAAATGGTTAGAAGTCAGTTAAATTATTTGGTCAAATAAGAAGGCAAAACATGAACAAGGAGAGTCATTCTGTGGTGTGCCCTTTATCTGGCTTTTAGAAAATGGGAATTTCACTCCCACACAACTATTTTTTTCACTCTCCCAAACTATTTGCTGTTATAACGTAGCCTCCTATAATTAATTGCCATGGATGCTCTGGGTCAAGTGAACAAAAACAAGTCAGCACATTTATGTCTGGTTAAGGTTCAGCTTCTTGCTCAAAGATCGTCCAGCAGAGCGCTGCTCGAATGCCTCCTCGGCTGAACGTTTTAAGAGCGAGCGCTGCTCTGGATCACAGTTGTGGGAGCTGGCTGGAGGGCACAGCTGCTCTGGCAAACACCACAAGCACGCCTTTTTGAACAAACAGCAAAGGGGTTTATGTAAATAAGCTGAAAGGAGCTCACAGGATGCAGGCAGCAGTCACTGAGCAGACTGCATTTCACAGCTGACCTACACTGATGCAGTAACAACCAGAACCAATGTGCATTAAAGAAAATGACCCAGAAAAGATTTGCAACTCGTGACTTGAGCAGGCAGATCAAACGCATTCATGCAGGGCCTACAACATATTCATAACAAGATACATTAAAGACGTTAGGGACATTTATACCACAAATTTTAGTAACAAAAAAAACCAAAACAAATCAGACCACAGTTTGATTTAATGCAGCAAAGCTCACCTTGCTATCAAGTTTCTTCATTGTCACCAAGTCCAGAGATTTCAGCGAGTGTCCTGTTGGAGCGATGAAGTACAAGCATGCGTGGATGCGGGTGTCGTGGTAGCTGTGTAGCGTGCGCTTGATTTTCAACTCCTCCTGCAGGTAGGCTTCAAACTGGGCATCGATGAACTCCACGATGGATTTGTAGCTGAACATGAGGAGAGGTGAAACAAGAGTTTAGCCTAATTTGTCAAAGTTCTTTCATAACATTTAGACATTTACAATTACAACTAAAAGTTAGACGTATATAAAAGTGTTCACAAAATAGCTCAATGGAAAAAAAGAAAAAAAGAAAAGAATAAGTATTTCTTAATAAATGTTTTTTTTATTATTATTTGCCAGTCCAAAATTCAGACATTCTTTTTAGATTTTTAACTTGGAAAAACATTTTCCATATAATATTTAATCATCAGATTTATGGGACATCAACTAACTGTTAAAGCACTTCTGTTATCTGTAATGAAAGGGGAGCTGCAATGACCGACACACAGCATCTGTAAATATTCAAAAAACAAAAAAATAGCTTTTTATTTGTCGTTTCTAGGAATACCACAGTTAATATGCTGTATTGTTATTTAACCATCAACCATTAATGTTACTGCTCGTTATAAAAACTGCTGCAACATTTAACTCAGTTTAGACCTGGCATTTTGTCTTTGCCAACTAATTTATGTCAAATAAATATTCCAATTTTTTTTACAGGCATTTTTTTCCTCACATAAAAAAATACCATTGATGTTAAAACTTTAGTTTATTGTCTAACCATTATCTGCAAACCTGAACTAGATATGTGCTCTAAAATGTGAATTTAGTGAACAACAACTTTGTGTTTCAAGAACTACAGGAAGACTAAAAAAAAAAAGGCATCCACCCCTTCCAGAACACAAACACTCAGCATGTGGCCATAATATAGATGCTGCCAGCAGAAGTTCACAAGACTGTAGGAGAGTTCTTGTATAACATCCACATTATTCTCTGTGGAATTTGTCATTTGAACTGCTTTGAAGAAACTGCAGCACTTTCCTTACAGAGCTGTATGATACAGTCCTCTCACACAGAAGTCAAGTCAATAAAAGGTTGGTAACAAAAACTTTGGGCGTATGCAGAAAGACCCTAGAGCCTTAGGGTGGTTGAAACCACCTACCGTATATCTAATGTCTCGTTTAGAGCTGGTAGTTTGAAACTATTGAGGAAAGACTACTTGAGATGAAGACTTGATTCATCATATTACCGAATAAAAATCAGATCTGAAAGGTCGCCAGGACAGGAGCCAAAAAGCATTAAAGGACTTAGTTGTGAATGTGCATGATCGTGCAGCCTTCCCAATCATTTTTTGAATAGGAGGCTAACGGCTCAGAGTAGGAGGCTGGAGTCATTCCCCAACATCAACACAAGATGCTCTGTGCACTAAAAATGTTTGGTGAACGCAGACCGTTTAAACACTGATCACTGATGAAAAAGTCTCACCAGCATCACAGGCATGAAAAGAGTTATGAAGTCATAATCAGCAGCAGCTGTCAATCAATTTTGTAGAGCGAGATGACACATTTTCAAGAATCTAATAAATTATTATTTCACAATTAATTTATCTTTATCTCACAACAGACCCAGCTGAATGCATGCAGCTCAAAAACTTCTCTTTGTTTTCCGTTACTACAGACAAGATGGTGACATCTGATCGATGTCAAAAGCATCATATTGTGAATGTGAACATCTGAATAAGACAGTTTTAACCCTTTAACTTTATGACTATTCATGTTCCTCAGGGGGAAATCAACCACGTGCTTAAAATTAATATTTTTAAATATTCCTTTCACAAAAAAAAAACTATGGTAGTTGGTCTTTTAGTGCTGTCTCAGCCTGAAATAAAAAGGTCTAATTTCAAATTTTTTTTTTATAATTATTTTAACACTAAGAGTTTTTTGTTTAAAAACTCTACAGGTTATTTTAATTGACAAAATATTTATTTTCCTCCGTTAGTATGCCATCAGGGTCAACATCCACATCCTCCTCTGCTCTCCGGAGCTCAGAACTGATGCTTGGTGCCGTCTAAAACTGAATAAACTAAACACTAAACTACACCCAACTATAAAACCCATCCATCCATCCATCCATCCATTATCTTTACCTGTTTATTCCATTCTGGGTCACGGGGGTCGCTGGTGCCCATGTCCAGCAATCACTGTGCGAGGGGCGGGGTACACCCTGGACGGGTTGCAAGTCCATCACAGGGCCACATAGAGACAAACGAGACAAACAACCATTCACACTTTCACTCACACCTAGGGACAATTTAGAGTTACCAATCAGCCTAACATGCATGTTTTTGGTCTGTGGGAGGAAACCGGAGTACCCGGAGAAAACCCACGCATGCACAGAGAGAACATGCAAACTCCACCCAGAAGGCCCCTGGACCGGGGTTTGAACCAGGGACCTGTTCGCTGAGAGGCAGCAGCTCTACCAGTTGCGCCACCGTGCTGCCCACTATAAAACCCAAACACGCTAAATAATCAAAAACTTCTCAGACCTCATTCCCGCTCTCACCATCTTCATCAGCCAAACTCCATTCAACTTCCACGTCTTTTTCTTCTTCTTACAGCAATGTTTTTGGTGCTTCACAAATAAGTTCAAGCCTCTGTCAGAAAGGAGTGTGTGTGTGTGTGTGTGGGGGGGGGGGGGGGGGGGGGGGGGGGGGGGGGGGGGGTGGTATCTGTTTGGTGGGGGTGGAAGATGAAAGTGGAGGGTGATGAGGGTGTTTTGTTCCTGGGACTTTGCTGCAGCCTCTTGCTCTAACGTGCTTCAGATATAATGATGGTTTTCAAAAAAACAAGTTGTGGCATGGATTAATTATTTTACTTGACCTATCAATATGATTTAAAAACTGGTGTGTAGTTTAAAGTCGGTACTTTTTACAAATTAAATGGTGTCTCTGAGAAGTTGTGTCTTTCCTTTATTTCATGCTGCTGTATTCATTCATTCGTACTCATCCACCCACAAAGACTCATGTTCGTGCTGCTGCTGTTCGGTGTATTGTTTTGCGCCATCAGTGACTGGCGTATATCTTAGATCTTTTGGAGTACTGTTTGGCATTTGTTTAGCGTATATCTTATATACTTATTTACCGTTTCTTTTTACACTTTATATTTTTTCTGTTGATGGATGTAACTGAGACCCTGTGTACACAATTTTATTCCACCTCATGTACCATACGTGATGCAAATGACAAAGAACCTTGACATTTCCTGCTAGAGTGACTGAAATTGGTCATGTGACTGTCACGCGCCGGCGCATCAACGGACTCCAAAGGGGGAAAAAAACAGAGTAGGTGACACCAGACACACGAGTAGCTGGCAAAATCGCCGCCTGCTGCCTGTTATTGAGAAGGTAGAAGGTGGATATCTGATGACACACACACACTACCTACTTTACAAGCAGAGCAGTTTTATTAGAAACCTGCCTGCTAGAGTCAAATGCTGCCTCTTTTTTTACCTGTCCTCCTTATTAATCTGGTCTCCAAAGCCCACTGTGTTGACGACTGCAAGTTTGAGGCGCACGTTACTCTCCTGCAGCTCATAGGTGTTGGACTTCAGCGTGACTCCAGGCTGGCTGTGCTGGGTGGGCTCACCCTCAAACTTGGTGTTGAACAGTGTGTCCATCAGAGTGGACTTACCAAGACCTGTCTCACCTACACAACAGAAAAAAAACACAGAAGATGCAACTTATACCATCATGACTCCAACACTAAAATAAATGTATTCATCTTGGCCCCTTGTACTGTTAGTTTAAATAAAAATAAATCTGAAAGATAAATGGACAAAAATAATTTAATAAATTTAATAAAACAAACCTAAAAGTGACTAGAGTACTGATTAAAAGACGCACTAAAGATGCTTTAAAATAAAAATGTGAAATACTTGCAGGCAAAAATAAATAAAGAACAGTAGAAGCAGCTTCACTGTGATGTTTTCTGACATGTATTCTGTTAAGGGCTGTATGACTCAGATATAGAGCTCCCTCCATCAGAAAATCTATTTTTATTCGTCACAGCATGACCTAAAGTCTGTGCTAGCTCATTTTTATGAGAAATCTTTCTATGCACTGGATTTTTCTCCATTTAAAAATCCAATAAACGAGCATATAAGGGGTCAATGCTGCTTGTTACTGAGAAATGAGAAGTTCTCCTCAAAGATATTTAGTTCTCATGGAAATCAGGCATTTTGTTTGAGCGCTTGAAAGCCAACTGTAAAAAAAAAAAAAAGCTCTAAAAACAAAATCATTATTAAAGCAATAGTTTATCTCATCTTCAAGATATTATGTGGACACTTATTAGGTCAACAACACCTCTGTCCTGTTCCACTTTCTACACATTCATTCTACATATACAGCAGGCAAACTAATAAAAGTGGTTTTCAGTTGGAACAAACAAGTAAAATCATAATGAATGGTATTTTCATAAGTTTCATAAGCAGATCTCCACACTATTTAATTAGTACTATCTACTACTGGTACTACTAACCACTGGTTACCGGTTCACCTTCGAATCCAGTTCAAAATACTGATGTATGTCTACAAATCACTGAACAGTACCCCCCCCCCCCA